GGTAGAATATGATACAATGGTACCATATGGTACAATGGTAGAATATGGTACAATGGTACCATATGGTGTAATGGTACCTTATGGTACAATGATACCATATGGTTCATTGTACCATATGGTACTGTTGTATTCAACACTAAACACACTAATATTTTCATCATTATTTCATTTACAATAATTGTTTACAACAAAAATATGCAAAAATGTTGTATATTAGTAATGTTCTATTATATATTTACAAATGTACAGGAACTGGACATGTTCCTTGAGGTGGATGACAAAGCGCTTTGTTTTGGAAACTGCAGAGTCACTAGCTAGCTAGGATCGTCACTCACTCAGTTTTGCCTGGTGGCAGCAATATCTCTGACCATATGGCACATGGTAGCATATGTTACAGGGTACCATATGGTGCAGGGTACCATATAGTGCAGGACACCATATGGTGCAGGACACCATATGGTGCAGGACACCATATGGTACAGGACACCATATGGTACAGGACACCATATGGTACAGGACACCATATGGTACAGGACACCATATGGTACAGGACACCATATGGTACAGGACACCATATGGTACAGGACACCCTTGGTACAGGACACCATATGGTACAGGACACCATATGGTACAGGACACCATATGGTACAGGACACCATATGGTACAGATACAGGGATCCCTATGGAAATAAGTCACCCTGATTTTTTTGGGTTATCCTAGGATTTTATACATATGCTGCTATGTATGATAATCTATGTAACTGTATTTGTGTATACCTGAATAAACTTACTCAAGCACATGTGGCATCGTAAGTTTATTTAGGTATACACAAATAAAGTTACAAAGATTATCATACATAGCATATGTTTGGAGAACCTAGGATAACCAAAAAAAAGTCAGACTTATTTCCAATAGGGCCCCTATACCCTGTACCATATGGTACAATGTACCATATGGTATAATATACCATATGATACAATGTACTATATGGTACATTGTACCATATGGTACCATTGTACCCTATGATACCATTGTATGACATGGCACCATTGTACCATATGGTACCATCCTTTAGTTTCTGCACTACTCTCTTGTTAGGAACTGTGTCGAAGGCCTTCTTGCAGTCCAAGAAAATGCAATTAACCCACTCCTTTCTCTCATGCCTTACTTCTGTAACTTTGTCATAAAACTCCAGAAAGCTTGTGACACAGGATTTGCCTTCCATGAATCCGTGCTGGTTGTCGTTTATAATCTTGTTCCGTTCCAGGTGCTCCACCACTCTCCTCCTGATAATCTTCTCCATGACTTTGCATACTATACACGTCAGTGACACTGGTCTGTAGTTTAGAGCCTCTTTTCTATCTCATTTTTTAAAAATGGGAACTACAATTGCCATCTTCCATACCTTGGGTAGTTGCCCAGTTTCAAGGGATGTGTTGAAGATTGTGGTTAATGGCACACACAGCATTTCTGCTCCCTCTCTAAGGACCCACGGGTAGATATTGTCCGGTCCCATTGCCTCTGAGGTATCAAGGTCACTGAGCAACTTTTTCGCCTCCTCCTCAGTATGTGTGTATGTACTCACCTAATTGTGGTTGCAGGGGTCGAGACGACAACTGGCCCTGCCTCTTCACTGAGTGCTACTAAGTCCTCTCTCTCCCTGCTCCATGAGCTTTATCATACCTCATTTTAAAGCTATGTATGGTTCCTGCCTCCACTACATCACCTGCTAGGCTATTCCACTTCCTGACTACTCTATGACTGAAGAAATACTTCCTAACATACCTTTGACTCATCTGGGTCTTCAACTTCCAAGAGTGACCCCTCATTTCTGTGTCCCCTCTCTGTCCACCTTGTCTATTCCATGCAGTATTTTGTATGTTATCATGTCTCCCCTAACCCTCCTGTCCTCCAGTGTCATCAGGCCAATTTCCCTCAACCTTTCCTCGTAGGACATTCCCCTTAGCTCTGGAACTAACCTTGTTGCAAACCTTTGCACTTTCTCTAATTTCTTGACGTGCTTGATCAAGTGTGGGTTCCAAACAGGTGCTGCATACTCCAATATGGGCCTGACGTACAGTGTCTTGAACAATTCCTTACTAAGGTATCGGAAAGCTATTCTCAGGTTTGCCAGGTGCCCATATGCTACAGCAGTTATCTGGTTGATGTGTGCTTCCGTAGATGTGCTCGGTGTTATACTCATCCCAAGATCTTTCTCCTTGAGCAAAGTTTGCAGTCTTTAGCCACCTAGCCTATACTCCGTCTGTGGTCTTCTTTGCCCTTCCCCGATCTTCATGACTTTGCATTTGGCGGGGTTAAATTTGAGAAGCCACTTGCTGGACCAGGTGTCCAGTCTGTCCAGGTCTCTTTGGAGTCCTACCTGATGTTCATCTAATTTAATTGTCCTCATTAACTTCACATCATCTACGAACAGGGACACTTCTGAGTCTAACCCTTCCGTCATATCATTCTCAAATACCAGAAATAGCACTGGTCCTAGGACAGACCCCCGTGGGACCCCGCTCGTCACAGGTGCCCACTGTGATGCCTCATCATGTACCATGACTCGTTGCCTCCCTGTCGGGTATTCTCTGATCCATTGCAGCACCCTTCCTGTTATATGCACCTGATCCTTTAGCTTCTGCACCAATCTCCTGTGAGGAACTGTGTCGAAGGCCTTCTTGCAGTCCAAGAAGATGCAATTAACCCACCCCTCTCTCTCTCTCTCTCTCTCTCTCGTGTCTTACTTGTTACTTTATCATAAAACTCCAGTAGGTTTGTGACACAGGATTTGCCTTCCATAAAACCGTGCTGGTTGGCGTTTATACTCTTGTTCCGTTCCAGGTGCTCTACCACTCTCCTCCCGATAATCTTCTCCATTACTTTGCATGCTACGCACATCAGTGACACTGGTCTATAGTTTAGTGCCTCTTTTCTGTCTCCTTTTTTAAATATGGGTACTACATGTGTGTGTGTGCCTGTGTGTGTGTGTGCCTGTGTGTGTGTGTGCCTGTGTGTGTGTGCCTGTGTGTGTGTGTGCGCCTGTGTGTCTGTGTGCCTGTGTGTGTGTGCGCCTGTGTGTGTGTGCCTGTGTGTGTGTGCCTGTGTGTGTGTGTGCCTGTGTGTGTGTGTGCCTGTGTGTGTGTGTGCCTGTGTGTGTGTGTGCCTGTGTGTGTGTGTGCCTGTGTGTGTGTGTGCCTGTGTGTGTGTGCCTGTGTGTGTGTGCATGTGTTCTGTGCGTGTGTTGTGTGCGTGTGTTGTGTGCGTGTGTTGTGTGCGTGTGTTGTGTGTGTGTGTTGTGTGTGCACATATACCTCAACGCACCACTCACCTTTTTTCCCTCATCAATTCTATGATTAACCTCATCCTTCATAAATCCATCCGCCGACACGTCAACTCCCAAGTATCTGAAAACATTCACTTCTTCCATACTCCTCCTCCCCAATTTGATATCCAATTTTTCTTTATCTAAATCATTTGATACCCTCATCACCTTACTCTTTTCTATGTTCACTTTCAACTTTCTACCTTTACACACATTCCCAAACTCATCCACTAACCTTTGCAATTTTTCTTTAGAATCTCCCATAAGCACAGTATCATCAGTGAAAAGTAACTGTGTCAATTCCCATTTTGAATTTGATTCCCCATAATTTAATCCCACCCCTCTCCTGAACACCCTAGCATTTACTTCTTTTACAACCCCATCTATAAATATATTAAACAACCATGGTGACATTACACATCCCTGTCTAAGACCTACTTTTACCGGGAAGTATTCTCCCTCTCTTCTACACACCCTAACCTGAGCCTCACTATCCTCATAAAAACTCTTAACAGCATTTAGTAACTTACCACCTATTCCACATACTTGCAACATTTGCCACATTGCTCCTCTATCCACTCTATCATATGCCTTTTCTAAATCCATAAATGCAATAAAAACTACCCAAGAAATGTAATTATAAATCTTTAAAATTGCTAGAAATACTTTTTACAATCCAAAAAGGGACACCCAACCTTATTCAACTAAAAATATGTTGATTCTCCCTTACCATGAAAACCTGGTTGATGCACCTTCTCTTCTTAAGACTTTTAATATCAAAGTTGTATTTAAATATCTTGATACAGTAAAAAAAACTTCTGATAAAGAATTCCCCCCAAAATGCTGACAGATGTCTATAAGATTCCTTGTAAAATTTGCGATAAAGTTTATTACGGTCAAACTGGTAAAAGTCTCGAACTAAGATTAAAACATAAATATAACATTAGAACTGGACAAGATTCCAATACTCTATTTATTCATGTGAGAGATTTTAACCATCCAACTGATTTTCAAAAAGTTGAGAAAGTTGTATCAAGCAAGTCCATGTTTAGTTAGTTTAATATGTTTATTATGCATCTTTCTTTCATAAAAAGCAGTTTTGAAATAATATGAATATTTCCTTTGGTTTATATAAATTAGATCCATTTATAATTAATAGAATTTGGGAAGAATTTAATAATACATTGGACAAATAATAAATCTTAATTCTTGGGTAGAATAATTTGTCTGTGGGTTGCCGTGAAGGACCTATCTAGTTGGGCCAGCGGGCCTACTGCAGTGTTCGCTTTCTTATGAGTCGCGCGTCAGGTGTTGCTGTGTTATAACCTGTAACCCTGTCAAACTACTATTTTGTTTAATTACATTACCTAATAGAATACTCCATTCTCTTGAATGCACAGTAACTCATCTAATGACCTTATGACCTGTTTCTGCACTACAAATCATTGATTTCACTCGATCTGATTCGATTATATTATACATTATGCTACAAATTTGTACAAGTTTAATGCTTCTTATTTGAAATACTCAAATATAATAAAACGACAAAATCTAATAACTACTTAATAATGATGCTTAATTTAATTTACAGTACTGTACTTATTCGAGGGATGTGCTGAAGAACATTTCTGTTACTAAATTATGAGTGAATAAAATACATGTATATTCTCTTACCTGTATTCAGCAACACCACCAGAGTACTTCTGCATTGCTGTTGCACTAGACATGCCATAAAACTGTTTCATTTTTTTTCCATTGCGTTCTATTATCTCTCCTCCTGATTGGTCATGGCCAGCCAACATCCCACCCATCATAACAAAATCTGCTCCAGCTCCAAAAGCCTTGGCAATATCTCCTGGACAGGTGCAACCACCATCCTGTAAAAAAAAAAAAAGAAGTTTAAGGGTACATGGGGTAACTGACTTATAGAAATAGAGGTCTAAGTTTTTAGTAAATTACTATTATACTTGGCAGGAGCACCCAGGGAAGCACAGGCAACCAGGTTTGAATGAAGGGGAAAACAAGTGCATTTCCATGAATGAAGAGCTCCTTGCCAGTATCAAGGAAACTTTTTGTGTGTGTAAAGTTATAGTGTAACACAGAACCTTCAAGGAGGGGGACAAACTCAATGCTGGTGAAGGGCTCTTGATAAAACCTGATTGCCTTTCATTCCTCAGGTGCTGTGTGACCCCCTACAAATTTAGCTCTTTCCCATAACAAAATCATGCTTAGTGGGATTTCACTGGGCAATTACGAATATACAGTAGGGCCCCATTTTATGGAGTTTCACCCTATGGCTTTCTGCTAATACGACAATTTCAAATTATGACCAAAATTTGCTATACGGCGAGCAGTCTTTCAAATATGGCATGCCCCACCCGGTTTGTTTACATTCTACGTGAGCACCTCTCTCTATTATGCCTGGAAATTTTCCCAAATTTCAAGCGTTTTAAAGTTATTGTGTATTTTATATACTCTGATAATTATACTTACGTGTACCTGTACCTAAATATACTTACACACTGTGCTGGCGTGCAGGTACACATTAAAATCACTAAGAGTCTCTCTACTCAACATCATATAATCTGTTGGGTGCATTAAATGTTTATATTACATTAACATAATCATTAACCCGTAAACGGTCCAAACGTATATATATGTTTTTTCAACATTTGAAAGTATGTAAAAAAGTAGATCTTTTTGTTTTTCTACATTTGAAAATGTGTAAAAAAACTTTGATCTACTTTTTTTTTTGTTATATTTGAAAATATGTAAAAAAACTTAGATCTACTGTTGTAGCACTACATATGTGAACGTAGATCTGCTTGGACCATTTATGGGTTAAACAGGGAGGTACTACCGTCCTGCCAAGCGAGTGTAAAACGGAAGCCTGTAATTGTTTTACATGATGGTAGGATTGTTGGTGTCCTTTTTTCTGTCTCATAAACATGCAAGATTTCAGGTATGTCTTGCTACTTCTACTTACACTTAGGTCACACTACACATACATGCACAAGCATATATATACATACATACCCCTCTGGGTTTTCTTCTATTTTCTTTCTAGTTGTTCTTCTTGTTTATTTCCTCTTATCTCCATGGGGAAGTGGGACAGAATTCTTCCTCCATAAGCCAACCGTGTCGTAAGACGCGACTAAAATACCGGGAGCAAGGGGCTAGTAACCCCTTCTCCTGTACATATTACTAAATGTAAAAGAAGAAACTTTCGTTTTTCCTTTTGGTCCACCCCGCCTCGGTGGGATACGGCTGGTGTGTTGAAAGTATCATTAAACATGCTACATAACATATAAATATGATACACCCACAGTATAAAAACTGATAAATATGAGTTTTGTTTACCAAGCGGTTGGTGGGAAGGTTGGAAGAATTATGTTTTCTCTAGTTAAACACCAGTAACCTAACTAGAAATTTATGCCTTTCGTATGCCTTCACTGTCTATAGCTAATCATGACCCTTGTGGGTTTAGTGCTTCTTTTTTATTATAATAATAATAACTTGTAAGAATAACAATAACTTGTAATAATAATAATTTGTAATAATAATAATTTGTAATAATAATTTGTCAGAGCATCATTTCTTCTAAAAATTACATGAGAATGGAAGTGTTGGTCTTTATTTATTCTACTGTACCACTGTGGAGACAACTTGTACACAATGTAAGGTGTTTGTATGAACATGTATCAACCATAAATGAGACAGTTTGTTTACATAAGTACTCTGCTGCTCTGTCATCTTACTCGTTCTCTCTCTCTCTCTCTCTCTCTCTCTTGTTTATTCATTTTTATCTCGCTTACTCACCTCTCACCCTACATTAGGACTACAAATATTGGCAGTTTGGAGGGATATGTTGTGTATCTTTATACGTATATACTTCTAAACTGTTGTATTCTGAGCACCACTGCAAAAACAGTGATAATGTGTGAGTGTGGTGAAAGTGTTGTATGATGATGAAAGTATTTTCTTTTTGGGGATTTTCATTCTTTTTTGGGTCACCCTGCCTCGGTGGGAGACGGCCGACTTGTTGAAAAAAAAAAAAGTAATGAGTGCACTGTATACGCATTTTATTGCTCTAGGGTACTTTAAATGTCATAGTAGGTGGGGGTGGCCAGGCGGGGTGCCATACCTCCCACACGACTTTCTACAACTAAATACTTTTCACCTCTCGCCCTACATTAAGACCACAAATATTTTAAGGTAAGTAATGAGCATACTGTATATGCACTTTATCACTTTAGGGCACTAAGTGTCGTAGTATATTATGTGTGGGTGAGGTGGCCAGAAGGGCTACCACACCTGACTTCTTACAGTAAATACAAGTACCATCCGACTTACGACCGAGCTTGGTTCTGACCAACTGGTCGTAAGTCAAAATGGATGCAAGTCGAACCTTTGAAAATTGCCGACATACTGGGCAGGGCATAATGTCAAACCTTTGCTATATAAACTACCTACATAGTACTGTAATGCAATGTACAATCATTATTTCATTTTTACCATAATGTACTATTGATATATTTTAATCATTTATGTACTGTATATTATGTATACATGGTAGTGGACTGTATTGTAATTTTTACATCTCATACAGTATCATATGTTACTGTTATCTTTAAGTATTATCGACACAGTGGAATGGGAGAATACCACTGGTAGTGTTATCCTGCCAGAATGTACTACAGCCTATATCCTAAGCCTATATCCAGAAACAACTCTGGAACATGTGTAATACGTATCCGGCTGGCTGGCTGGCTAACAGGCTGGCCGGCCGGCTGGGTGGGTGGTTGGCTGCCTGACTGATTGAATTTGGCTGTCTCTAAATCTGTATCTGTCTGTCTCTATCTCTGTCTCTCACACAGGTACACATTACAAGTAAAGTTATCATACATAGTATAAATTACCTAGGATAACCCAAAAAATCCAGACAAAGTGCTACACAGTGGATTTGTGCTCCAGTGCCCTAAATTAATAATAATAATAATTATTATTACAATAATATGTACTAATATTAATAATAATAATATTATTAAACTATAATAATAATGTTGACTCATTACTTACCTTAAAATATCTGTAGTCTTAATGTAGAGTGAGAGGTGAGTAAACAAGATTAAATGAATAAATGAGAGAGAGAGAATGAGAGTGTAGAAGGTTTGCGAGTTTTGTAAATAAAACTAGCTGTTGTTGTTGTTGTTGTTACCAGCCCAGACACGAATGGTTTTTGTTCACTCCGTCAAGCCAACTGGAAAAACATCTCATATTTATGTTAATTTGTATGTTTATATGTTACATAGCATGTTTATTATATAAATTTGAAAAATCATAGATGAATTAAGCAAAATGTCTATACAGTGGACCCCTGCATAACGATCACCTCCAAATGCGACCAATTATGTAAGTGTATTTATGTAAGTGCGTTTGTACGTGTATGTTTGGGGGTCTGAAATGGACTAATCTACTTCACAATATTCCTTATGGGAACAAATTCAGTCAGTACTGGCACCTGAACATACTTCTGGAGTGAAAAAATATCGTTAACCGGGGGTCCACTGTATTAATGTTTTATACACATTTAATGCACCTCAAAGTGATTATTATTGTGTTATTATTAATATGGCATCTTAAGAGACCAATAGCACACTCTTAATGATTTTAATGTGTACCTACATGCCAGCACATGTGCAAGATGTCGAGTTTAAAGCAGTCAAGTTCATATTTTATTCATTCTAGAGTATATCATGTTATTTATATTGTTTATTATGCCATATTAGATGAATTGTGATAGATAAATAAGCCGTAGGGGCCATGGTGAAATTTACTGTCCAGTTAGTACAGTTAATACAGTATATGTTGCTGATAGGGCAGGGTTACTCAAACTGATGCTGCCTGCATGGAGCATTGCCGCCACAAGTATCGCCAAATATTGTACAGCAGTATGCATCAGCCGGCCCAGCTCAGCTGCCAGATGAACGGTCGTAAGTCAAGTGGACGTATGTCGAGCAGGTCATAAGTCGAATGGTAGGTGTACAGTGGACCCTCGGCTAACAATATTAATCCATTCCAGAGAGCTCATCGTTAGACGAAATTACCGTTATCCGAATTAATTTTCCCCATAAGAAATAATGGAAGTCCAATTAATCCATTCCAGACATCTGAAAGTATTAAAAAATTTTTTTTTTTTCATGAAATATATATTTCCCTACAAAGAAAACAATGAGACATGCACAATAACTATATAAATAAATGTTAAAATGACACCTTTATTGAAGAGTATTGATGAGTGATGAGACTGTTTTTCTTGAACACTCTGGGATTTTCAGAGTGATACATGAGTAAAGGCTTCACTTTGCAATCCCCACTAGCATTACAACAAAACATGAGAGTCAGCCTGTCTTTCATAGGCTTGTGTCCTGGGAGTGCCTTTTCCTCCCGAGTAATGTAGGTCCTGTTTGGCATTTTCTTCCAGAACAGGCCTGTTTCGTCACAATTGAACACTTGTTGGAGTTGGAATTTTTCAGCTTCGCCATGCCTTATCGCACTGTGTATGCCACTACGATTCTTAAATCTCTCAAAACAGCCTTTGCTGGCCTTAGATTCACCAATATGAGCACTAGTTCCAGGTATTTTTTCCTGTTCACCTGGGTGTTAGTCGACTGGTGTTGGTCGCATCCTGGGGGACAAGATTAAGGACCCCAATGGAAATAAGTTAGACAGTCCTCAATGACTCACTGACTTTCTTGGGTTATCATGGGTGGCTAACCCTCTGGGGTTAATTGTCTCTCAGTAATTGTTTCTCGTTAAGCCACACCAACAATAGTCTCGCCACATCTTCGAGTAGTACAAATGACGGTGTAGCAAAAGCTGACGGTGGTGCAGCAGCAGCTGACCGTGGTACAGCAGCAGCAGCAGCAGCTGACCATGGTACAGCAGCAGCTAACAGTGGTGCAGCAACAGCTGACTGTGGTACGATAGTATTTCGATAGTATTTCTCACCCTTTTTACCACAAAGTTGGCACTAGAAGCTTTCTTTGGGCCCATGGTGGCTTATTTAGCAGTTACAAGCACCAAAAACAATGGAATAATACAAAATGTATCGAATGTATGCATGGAACCGGCCACCCTGGCTTGTAAACAATGATGGCAGGGCAGCTGAGGCACTCAGGCTGGATGGACAGGTTCGGAACGAATCACGTTAGTTAGTCAAGTTTTTCATCGTTGGCCGGGCCAAAACTTTTAAGCTCAAATGCTTCGTTGGGTGAATTTATCGTTAGACGATACCTTCATTAGCCGAGGGTCCACTGTACTACTCATCTTTTGCCCTACATCAAGACTAAAAATATTTTGAGGTAATGAGTGTACTGTGTGTGTATTTTACTTATTGTTTTTTAATGCCTAGTTCTATTGCTAACTTAATATATATGTTAGTGTAAACTTGTTATCTGGCATTTATATACATTTATAAGTGGAAAAAATGGCACTCTGCTTTCTGGCAGTAGTCTGGAACCTAACCTGCCATATAAGTGGGGCCCTACTGTATAAGGAATCTCTTTGCTTTGTGTTTACCTATTCCCTCATTGCCTTGGATTTTTTTTTTTTATTTTTGGGAACAAGCTGAATGGTGCATATACACATGGTGGCTAGAACTGCATGCTGGAGCAGTATGGGCAATGAGGTACATAAAATAGATTTGCTATGCAACAATTGTTATTGTTTGCTGACCTAGTGCAATTAGGTGTTTTACTTTGTAAACCTTTGTAAATGATGAGAATTGTCAATATCCAGTTCCCAACATATACTGCAGCTCCACACGTAACATTTAATGAAAGTTTTCATAAGAAAGAAACAAAATAAAACAGCTTTAGGTAGAAGAAAACTAATAGAAGCCATTATCAGAACCATTACTACTACAAGCGCATCTGTCTTCCTACTAGGAGGGAATTATTCTTCACTACACTTCAGAGGTGTCCTGATGCCAGTGAAGGGCTTTTGATCAAAGAAATAAGACTTACCCTCTTATTCCTTGGATCAAAACTGCTGTATGACCCTATTAGGTTCAGCACTTCAATTATTTTTAGGGGAAAGTGCTAAACTCAAGGGAATTCGTGGTAAAAAGATGTTCAATCCAAGGAAAAAAGAGGGGAGTTCCAATTCCTTGGATCAAAAACTCTTCACTGGCATCACGGTAATCTCCCTTGAAGAGCACTTAATCTGTAATTGCTAAAATTAATAACATTCCTCCACTACAAATGGTACCAGGAGGCAACCATCCTCCACTACAAATGGTACAAGGAGGCACCCATCCGCCACCACATATGGTACCAGGAGGTGCCCATCCTCCACTACAAATGGTACCAGGAGGTGCCCATCCTCCACTACAAATGGTACCAGGAGGCGCCCATCCTCCACTACAAATGGTACCAGGAGGCGCCCATCCTCCACTACAAATGGTACCAGGAGGCGCCCATCCTCCACTACAAATGGTACCAGGAGGTGCCCATCCTCCACTACAAATGGTACCAGGAGGCACCCATCTTCCACTACAAATGGTACCAGGAGGTGCCCATCCTCCACTACAAATGGTACCAGGAGGCGCCCATCCTCTACTACAAATGGTACCAGGAGGCGCCCATCCTCCACTACAAATGGTACCAGGAGGCCCCCATCCTCCACTACAAATTGTACACGAAGGTGCCCATCCTCCACTACAAATGGTACCAGGAGGCACCCATCCTCCACTACAAATGGTACCAGGAGGCACCCATCCTCCACTACAAATGGTACCAGGAGGCACCCATCCTCCACTACAAATGGTACCAGGAGGTGCCCATCCTCCACTACAAGTGGCACCAGGCAGCACCCATCCTCCACTAGAAATGGTACCAGGAGGCACCCATCCTCCACTACAAATGGTACCAGGAGGTGCCCATCCTCCACTACAAATGGTACCAGGAGCCCATCCTCCACTACAAATGGTACCAGGAGGTCCCCATCCTCCACTACAAATGGTACCAGGAGGTCCCCATCCTCCACTACAAATGGTACCAGGAGGCACCCATCCTCCACTACAAATGGTACCAGGAGGCGCCCATCCTCCACTACAAATGGTACCAGGAGGCACCCATCCTCCACTACAAATGGTACCAGGAGGCACCCATCCTCCACTACAAATGGTACCAGGAGGCACCCATACTCCACTACAAATGGTACCAGGAGGCGCCCATCCTCCACTACAAATGGTACCAGGAGGCACCCATACTCCACTACAAATGGTACCAGGAGGCACCCATCCTCCACTACAAATGGTACTAGGAGGCGCCCATCCTCCACTACAAATGGTACCAGGAGGCACCCATCCTCCACTACAAATGGTACCAGGAGGCACCCATCCTCCACTACAAATGGTACCAGGAGGCGCCCATCCTCCACTACAAATGGTACCAGGAGGCACCCATACTCCACTACAAATGGTACCAGGAGGCACCCATCCTCCACTACAAATGGTACTAGGAGGCACCCATCCTCCACTACAAATGGTACCAGGAGGCACCCATCCTCCACTACAAATGGTACCAGGAGGCACCCATCCTCCACTACAAATGGTACCAGGAGGAGCCCATCCTCCACTACAAATGGTACCAGGAGGCACCCATCCTCCACTACAAATGGTACCAGGGGGTGCCCATCCTCCACTACAAATAGAATCAGGTGCCCATCCTCCACTATAAATAGTACCAGGGGGTGCCCATCCTCCACTACAAATAGTACCAGGAGGCACCCATCCTCAACTACAAAGAGTACAAGGAGGCACCCATCCTCCACTACAAATGGTACCAGGGGGTGCCCATCCTCCACTACAAATGGTACCAGGGGGTGCCCATCCTCCACTACAAATAGAATCAGCAGGTGCCCATCCTCCACTACAAATAGTACCAGGAGGCACCCATCCTCAACTACAAATAGTACAAGGAGGCACTCATCATCAACTACTGTACAAACAGTATAAGGAGGCACTCATCATCAACTACTGTACAAACAGTATAAGGAGGCACTCATCATCAACTACTGTACAAACAGTATAAGGAGGCACTCATCATCAACTACTGTACAAACAGTATAAGGAGGCACTCATCATCAACTACAAACAGCACAAAGATTCACTCATCCTCAACTACAAATACAAGAAGTTACCTGCTGTTGTAGAGAGACTGTCTTGGTCCACTAACCACAAGCACCTGACATGTATGTTCACCATGTGAAGTTTGCCCTGCTGAGAGAGCAGGCTAGTGAGCTTACTGTTCCACAAACTTTTCCATCTCTTGTATATATGCAGGAATCTGTAGGAACTTCCAGTTGAAATCTCAACATGTAGTACTGTACTGTAGTACTTTGGGGAGAATTAGCGACATATCTGTTGAGCAAGAATGGCCACAGGACTGATCACCCTTTTGATGCTAGTACTGATTACTTGTATATATGGCATACTGCTAGGGTATTGTTACACGAGTTATTTTATTTGTTGATGGTTCTAAGGACCATCGCCTTTGTGGCCTTGTCTCATACCAGAAAAGAAACACTAGGAGAGTAATAAATGCAGTACTGTACTAAGAAACACATGGGAAAGCAAAAATACATATTTTCTATATGTAAGTAGAAGTTTAAGATGTACCTTCAATCTTGTATGTTTATAAGACAAAAAAACAGATCAGCAATTCCACAGGAATTCAAAACATTTAACAAGCTTCTATTTAAATTCAGGCACCACACAGTATAGTACATGTACAGTACAGTTTATGTAAAATCAAGATCCCTCTAAGGATTTAACTCTTCCAGGAATATAATACATTGTAATGCCTTTGCAAGATAACAGTTGTGAGAGACAACATTTATGACAAGAGCTGATACACGTACATCTTTTGATGGTGGGAGTGTTGTGCATGGTTTATTATGTTCAGGAGAAGGAACAAATATGAAGAAATTAATGAACTTTTACAATGGAAAATAAAAACTACAGTACTGTACATCCTTAATAATCTATAAGTCTAGGAGCTGAGCAGCTCCTTATTGTAGAATTTTTCACATTATATATACACATTCTTATTTTAAGTAGCAGCAGTAAGACTCAAAAATGATAGCACTTACATCAGACATTTTACATTAATATAACAAAATATTTTTTTATAAATTCTTCTAGATTATGGGAGTTTCTGAAGTTTAGAATTAGTGATTATTAAGGTTGTACTGTACAACAAAGTAAACAGGTATTAGAAGTAGATGCTTATACAGATATGATGTGTCCAGCAAGGCCATGGGCTGCATCAGCACACTCAATGACTGCCGATAACTGAGGGTATCCAACTCCAGCCTTCTTTCTGGTGGTGCACACTGATCCGGGACCAATTCCCACCTTAATAATGTCAGCACCTGAGAGAATCAATTCTTCAACCATCTCTCCTGTTACCACATTACCAGCCTGAGGAAAAGATATAGTTTTAAACCTGCAGCATAGATAAAGGTACTGCAAGAATGAGATGGTAGATTATTAGGCTTTTTAGGATCACTCAAAGATTAGCCTCTTCCATAAGAGGGGGAGTAAGGTAGACTTTGAACAAATTGCCTCAGACTCTGCAGATTAAGGCAAGATAGAAAAAGAAAAACAAAAAGATACCAGCTTAGAAAAAGAATAACTTTAAAAGTGTACAGATTTCTTTGCAGTCCAATGAACATTTATCAATTTCTTTGCAATCTACTGTACAATTATGTATACATATCCATGCAAATTTGTTTGACATATGCAACACATTTAAATATACTGTACTCCTGCATGAAATTTGTATTGTGGGAGTTTAGAAGATTCATAAAATTTTTTATGATTCACTGGGAATGAGTATTAATTTTTGCCTTCATTTTTAAAATGTATACACCAAAGCAGACACGATAATAAATCTTTAGAAATCACGACAAGAATATTTGTACCCTTTTGTAGTGCTTATAGTGTTAAGTCAGATCACAGGTACCTATAATGTTCCTATACTGTATATAGCATTGACTTCTTTTACCAGGTTTCTCATTTCTCAATACATACTATAAAAAAGTATTATGGTTAATGAACATGGAGATGTTTATATACACTTCTCTGGACATGCTCATGGTGTAAGCCTGTCATCAGCCAAGCCATCATGGAACCAAGGCACCCAGTTCATTACTGACCAATCACACATACCAATGGCTTCTACTTCGAATTTAAGCTTAAGGAGTCATACAGGAGCCAAGAAACACAGTAAGAACTTAAAGCAATAAATGAAATTGAAATGAAAAAAAAAAAAATATTTCTTATGCCAAATCTAGATCAAATACCATATCCAGTATTGGACCCTGCTTAAATGAAAAAGGACTTTACACAGATGACAGCAAAGAAACTAGTGAGATACTATAGTCCCAATATGACTCTGCATTTATTGAGCCATTAATCAGACTAAGGGTCGACAATCTAAATGACTTATGACCAACGCTTAAAATATGATTAATTCAAGAATTTCTGATATAATCCTAACACCACAGGACTTTGAAAAATCAATGACATGCTCATGAACTCTGCCCCAGGCCCAGACTCGTGGAACTCCATGTTCATCAAGAACTTCAAGAAACCCTTTTCATGGGGTTATCCCAGAGTCTATGAAAACAATGGATATAGCTCCACTCCACAAAGGTGGCAGTAAGGAAATTGCAAGAATTACAAACTAATAGCACTAATGCTCCACATCATAAAAATGTTTGAAAGGGTTCTAAGTAGCAAAATCGCCAACTACTTGGATACCCAACAACTGCAAAACTCAGGGCAGCATGGACTTATAGCAGGTTGCTCCTGCCTCTCACAGCCACTGGATCACTATGACATGGTCTTAGATGTACTGGAAGACAAACAAAATGCAGATGTAGTATACACAGACTTTGCGAAAGCCTTCAGCATGGTGTAATAGCACACAAAATATATGATAAAGGAATGTGAATAAATGGTTTATAAAACCATAAAGGCACAGCAGAAAAAGTGGTTTGATGGATCCATAACTTCCTAACAAACTGAACACAAAGAATAATAGTAAACCAGTAAAGTCAGAAGCAGCTACAGAGACAGGCTCTGTTCTACAGCGTGCAGTACTCACTTCCTTTTCTTCATCCTCATATCTGACATGGGCAGAGATGTAAACCACAGATTACAGATTTTGGTTATTGTGTAGTTTACATGTAATAAAATACTAATTACAGAGGGGGCCATTAGAACCCCTAGCATGGCTAGGCATTTCGGGCAAACTTAGATTAATTCTTAACCCTAAATTATTACAAATTATGGAGTAAGTTGACTAAATACTAAGTGACTAAATACTAGTTAGTGAGTTTAGCAATGTGAATGCTTTTGTTTTGGCACTTGGTTACAGGAAAGTGGGTGCAGGAGGGAAGAGGAGCGATTGGTGGAATGATGATGAAAAGAGAGTAGTAAGGGAGAAAAAGTTAGCATATGAGAAGTTTTTACAAAGTAGAAGTGATGCAAGGAGGGAAGAATATATGGAGAAAAAGAGAGAGGTTAAGAGAGTGGTGAAGCAATGTAAAAAGAGAGCAAATGAGAGAGTGGGTGAGATGTTATCAACAAATTTTGTTGAAAATAGGAAAAAGTTTTGGAGTGAGATTAACAAGTTAAGGAAGCCTAGAGAACAAATGGATTTGTCAGTTAAAAATAGGAGAGGAGGGTTATTAAATGGAGAGTTAGAGGTATTGGGAAGATGGAGGGAATATTTTGAGGAATTGTTAAATGTTGATGAAGATAGGGAAGCTGTGATTTCGTGTATAGGGCAAGGAGGAATAACATCTTGTAGGAGTGAGGAAGAGCCAGTTGTGAGTGTGGGGGAAGTTCGTGTGGCAGTAGGTAAAATGAAAGGGGGTAAGGCAGCCGGGATTGATGGGATAAAGATAGAAATGTTAAAAGCAGGTGGGGATATAGTTTTGGAGTGGTTGGTGCAATTATTTAATAAATGTATGGAAGAGGGTAAGGTACCCAGGGATTGGCAGAGAGCATGCATAGTTCCTTTGTATAAAGGCAAAGGAGACAAAAGAGAATGCAAAAATTATAGGGGGATAAGTCTGTTGAGTATACCTGGTAAAGTGTATGGTAGAGTTATTATTGAAAGAATTAAGAGTAAGACGGAGAATAGGATAGCAGATGAACAAGGAGGCTTTAGGAAAGGTAGGGGGTGTGTGGACCAGGTGTTTACAGTGAAACATATAAGAGAACAGTATTTAGATAAGGCTAAAGAGGTCTTTGTGGCATTTATGGATTTGGAAAAGGCTTATGACAGGGTGGATAGGGGGGCAATGTGGCAGATGTTGCAGGTGTATGGTGTAGGAGGTAGGTTACTGAAAGCAGTGAAGAGTTTTTATGAGGATAGTGAGGCTCAAGTTAGAGTATGTAGGAAAGAGGGAAATTATTTCCCAGTACAAGTAGGCCTTAGACAAGGATGTGTGATGTCACCGTGGTTGTTTAATATATTTATAGATGGGGTTGTAAGAGAAGTAAATGCGAGGGTCTTGACAAGAGGCATAGAGTTAAAAGATAAAGAATCACACAAAGTGGGAGCTGTCACAGTTGCTCTTTGCTGATGACACTGTGCTCTTGGGAGATTCTGAAGAGAAGTTGTAGAGATTGGTGGATGAATTTGGTAGGGTGTGCAAAAGAAGAAAATTAAAAGTGAATACAGGAAAGAGTAAGGTTATGAGGATAAGAAGATTAGGTGATGAAAGATTGGATATCAGATTGGAGGGAGAGAGTATGGAGGAAGTGAATGTATTCAGATATTTGGGAGTGGACGTGTCAGCGGATGGGTCTATGAAAGATGAGGTGAATCATAGAATTGACGAGGGGAAAAGGGTGAGTGGTGCACTTAGGAGTCTGTGGAGACAAAGAACTTTGTCCTTGGAGGCAAAGAGGGGAATGTGTGAGAGTATAGTTTTACCAACGCTCTTATATGGGTGTGAAGCATGGGTGATGAATGTTGCAGCGAGGAGAAGGCTGGAGGCAGTGGAGATGTCATGTCTGAGGGCAATGTGTGGTGTGAATATAATGCAGAGAATTCGTAGTTTGGAAGTTAGGAGGAGGTGCAGGATTACCAAAACTGTTGTCCAGAGGGCTGAGGAAGGGTTGTTGAGGTGGTTCGGACATGAAGAGAGAATGGAGCGAAACAGAGTGACTTCAAGAGTGTATCAGTCTGTAGTGGAAGGAAGGCGGGGTAAGGGTCGGCCTAGGAAAGGTTGGAGGGAGGGGGTAAAGGAGGTTTTGTGTGCGAGAGGCTTGGACTTCCAGCAGGCATGCGTGAGCGTGTTTGATAGGAGTGAATGGAGACAAATGGTTTTTAATACTTGACGTGCTGTTGGAGTGTGAGCAAAGTAACATTTATGAAGGGGTTCAGGGAAACTGGCAGGCCGGACTTGAGTCCTGGAGATGGGAAGTACAGTGCCTGCACTCTGAAGGAGGGGTGTTAATGTTGCAGTTTAAAAACTGTAGTGTAAAGCACCCTTCTGGCAAGACAGTGATGGAGTGAATGATGGTGAAAGTTTTTCTTTTTCGGGCCACCCTGCCTTGGTGGGAATCGGCCAGTGTGATAATAAAAAAAAAAAAAAAAAAAAAAACATAGTTTATATATTGCAGTATCACAGGCAAACTTATGACTAGTTAGGAATCATTATTTTAAGATTAAGATTCGTATTTCTGTGCTTATAGTCAAATGGGTGAATGAGTGAAAGTATGAACCACCAAGTGGTTTTTATGTAATTAGTTAATGGGGTGTATCAGGGAGATAAGATGTTTTCTAACGGTAGTTTTGAAGGTGATGAATGTGTCTGTAGTTCTAGAGTTTTCAAGTAGGGTGTTCCAGATTTTAGGGCCTTTGACATACATTGAATTTTTGCAAAGGTTTAGTCAGACACGGGGAATGTCGTAGAGATGTTTGTGTCTGGTGTTATGCCTGTGGGTCCTGTCACAACTATCAAGAAAGCATTTTAGGTCAAGGTTAATATTGGAATTTAAGGTCCTGTATATGTAGATTGAACAGTAGTAAGTGTGGGTGTTCTGAACAGGGAGTAAGTTTAAATCTATGAAGAGTGGGGGGGGGGGGTGTTGCCAGGGATGGGATTTAGTGATTATTCTTACTGCAGCTTTTTGTTGGGTTATTATTGGCTTTAGGTGTGTTGCTGCAGTTGATCCCCAAGCACAAATATAGGTGAGGTATGGATAAATGAGTGAATGGTATAGTGTGAGAAGGGCATTTTGCGGCACGTAGTATCGTATCTTGGAGAGGATCCCAACTGTTTTGGATTCTTTTTTTGTTATGTGATGATACCAGAATTTGCATGACTGTCAGACATTGAGGACCCAAGCAGACATTAACTACTAAGTCTTTAAATGGGCCTCAGAAAACAATATTAAGTTCAATGAAGACAAATTTCAATTGCTCCACTATGGAAAACTTGAGGAAATAAAAACTGGATTGGAATATAAAACAAATTCCAACCACACAGAGTGAAAACTAATATGAAGGACCTGGGAGTGATAATGTTGGAGAATCTTGCTTTCAAAAACCACACAGATAATGAGAACCTTCAAAACCAGGGATGCCAAGCAAATGATGACACACTTCTGAGTATTGCTGTACACTAACAGTCCCTTTCAAGGCAGGCAAAAATGCAGACCTGGACAACATAAATAGAACTTTGACTGCACATATAGGTACAATAAAGCACCTAAATTAATAGGAAAGGTTGAAGTCCCTTGATCTGTACTCCTTTTAACCCTTTGAGGGTTTTCGTCGTACTAGTACGTCTTACGTGTAGGAGTTTTTGACGTACTAGTACTCATAAATTCTAGCGGCCTCAAATCTAGTGGGAGAAAGCTGGTAGGCCTTCATATGAAAGAATGGGTCTATGTGGTCAGTGTGCACAGTCTAAAAAAAATCCTGCAGCACACAGTGCATAATGAGAAAAAAAAAACTTTGACCATTTTTTTTTAATAAATCAGCGACTTTGCACTGTATTTTCGTATGGTATTTATTGTTGTATTCTAGTTTTCTTGGTCTCATTTTATAGAATGGAAGACATATTACAGAAATTGAGATGATTTTGACTGGTTTTACAAAGAAAGGTGCCTTGAAATTGAGCTCAAAGTAGCAGAAATGTTCGATTTTTACCAAACTTCAAAAGTAAACAAATCGTGCCAAGCGTGCAATACACGTCAACTGGTGAGTCTAATATTCTTTCACAAGTGCACCAATAATATTTATACCATTTTTTACACTAATGCAGTAGTCTGCATAACAGTAAATCTTATATTTTTTGTGAAAATAAAAATTCAAAGTGGAAAGCAAAAGAATATAAGAGGGGCCTTGAGACATGACTAATGACTAAAGGAAATGTCATTTTAGTGCCAGGAATGTCTTTCTTGTTTATTCTGGACCCTATTCGGAAATTGGCATCTTTTGAAATTTGTGTGAAATTGGCAAAATTGCTAAATTCTGACCACTGTACTGGATAGTTGGATTTCATAAATGAGTGGTTTCTTGCACCCATTCGATAGAAAAAATGGAGTTCTAGCGAAATATTCATGTTTTTTGTCGACTAGTACAGTGAAATTGGCCGAAAATGGGGCTCAAAGTGGGCAAAATCGCCGATGCGTAAACATCGCCGAGACCGCTAACTTTGCGAGAGCATAATTCCGTAAGTTTTCCATCAAATTTCAAACTTTTGGTGTCTTTATGATCGGGAAAAGATTCTCTATCTTTTCATAAGAGAAAATAATTTTTTTTTTTTTAAATTTGGCCGACCCTGAGAACGAGTTTCGGAGAGGGCCTGTCGACCCTCAAAGGGTTAACAAGCAGGAAAGATACATGATAAAATACACTCTGAAATTCCTAGAGGGACTAGTCCCAAATCTGCACATGGAAATCACTCCCTACAAAAGCAAAGACTCAGCAGGCAGTGCAACATCCCCCCAATGAAAAGCAAGGATGCTATAAGTATGCTAAGAAACAACACAATAAGTGTCAGAGAACCAAGCAAGATTGTTCAACTGCCTTCTAGCACAAAAAAAGGGGATTACCAATGAACCCCTGGTTGAAGAATTGAGACACTTGTGCAACACATGGGAATCTTTATTGAAGAAACATTTTGCCACACAGTGGCTTCATCAGTCCAATACAAAGTAGAAATGGGTAAGGAGAGGAGGAGTTCGAGGTAATCAGTCCCTCAACCTGGAATCGATGTGTTCAGTCCATCACTCTTGTAGGAAGTGCAGCATAGGGCCAGAGAGGTGGCTTATATATGGCAGTCAGATGAGTTGAAGCAGGAGGAGGCGGGATCACAGTGGGACCTGCCACTTGTGTAAGTAGGTCGTCGTCCAAAGGTTGGGCAAGCGTTGAAGTCTTTGTACCAAGATCCCATGATGTTGCAGTGTCTGACAGATGTGGTGAATGGTTTTGAAAACCGACAAGTTGAAGAACTGAGACACTTGTGCAACACATGGGAATCTTTATTGAAGAAACGTTTCGCCACACAGTGGCTTCATCAGTCCTACTTACACAAGTGGCAGGTCCCACTGTTATCCCGCCCCCTCCTGCTTCAACTCATCTGACTGCCGTATATAAGCCACCTCTCTGGCCCTATGCTGCACTTCCTACAAGAGTGATGGACTGAACACATCGATTCCAGGTTGAGGGACTGATTACCTCGAACTCCTCCTCTCCTTACCCATTTCTACTTTGTATTGGACTGATGAAGCCACTATGTGGCAAAACATTTCTTCAATAAAGATTCCCATGTGTTGCACAAGTGTCTCAATTCTTCAACTTGTCGGTTTTCAAAACCATTCACCATGAACCCCTGGCTGTCTTCAAGAGGGAGCTGGACAGGCACCTAAAGTCTGTACCTAACCAGCCAGGCTGTAGCTTGTATGTTAATTTGTATGTGGCCAGTAGTAACAGCCTAGTTGATTAGGCCCAAATCCACCACGAGGCCTGGTCATGGACTGGGCTGTGGGGGCACTGACCCCCAAAACACCCTCCAGGTATATGTACTATTTCCTTCATTTGATGGCCTGCATTTTGAAATCCAATGATCTGTGCAATTGTCTCTTATTTCAGTGACTTATTCCTGCTCATATTAATTTGTCTACTGCCAAAAATGTTTAAAAATCCTGGCACCAAAGACCACATGGTGCAGGGAAACTACAGACAAATATCCATCCACCACACAAACTAAGAAAGCACCGAGAATCCAGCCAGTAGCCTTAGGGAATCCCATGATGTCCTGCTTTGTGTAGCCAGCATTAATTTTTGTTGCACCAAAACACATAACAGAGTTAAGTATTTCTTCAACATTAAAGTATGCTGGGTGCCTCCACTTGGCATACTTTGACAAGCACTAAGATCATGAAAGATAAACTTAACAAATGATAAAGTACAGTATTGTAGTGGCACGAATAAAATACACAACACAAGGACTAATGCTCTTCGTATAAAGGGACTTTTGGCATATACACCCAACTATTATACATATTTCTTTGTACAAACATGTATCAAGTGAAATAAAATATTATTATTAGAAAATCACCACATTCGTTAAAACTCCCATTAAATTATGTCAAACAGACTCCTAAAAGCTCCCCAATATTCCTAAAGGCACCCAGGTAATTATAAAACTTACAGTGTAAGTGAAAAAAACCCAAATCACGGGAAAATAATTAAAAGGTGTTCCAGTCAACTCTCACAAACTGCAGAAGGGTAAGGATGAGGAGGACATGGGGGGGGGGGTGCAGGAGCACCTGCAAACAAGTGAGTATGGGTCAGATTCATGTGCCCTATCCTCAATTGACAGTGATCTCAAAGTGATGATTCCTGTTGGAGAAACAGGACATAACACATGTCCTGTCAAAATTAAGGTGTTGTGTTGCTCAGTTGCTAACACACTCGTTCACACATGGAGGTCCATAGTTTGATATTGGGTATGGGTGGAAACATCTGGACATGTTTCCTTAAGACACCTACTGTTCCTGTTCACCTAGCAGTAAATATATACTTGGGTGTAGGTCACATGCTGGGAACAAAATTGACTTAATTTGCCCAAAATGCTCTGCATAACAAGGGGGCTCTCTATATAGTATGTCCCTGATATCAGCTAGATCTGTATACGTTGTACATGTACTTGCAGAAATAGAGATTATTATTATTATTATTATTATAACATTGTATAACTCACTGTACAGCTCACTGGGATCATCACACCACAATGGCAAATCTAAGAATGTGACAGGATCCGTATTTTCAAGTACGGTAGTACCTCGGTACTCGAACAGCTCCCTATTCAAACAATTCAGTATTCAAATGCTTTGTTCGGTAAAAATATCGTTCAGTAGTCGACCGTTTGCTTGGCACTCAACCAAACACAACCTGCCAAACTTCGCTGTAAATTGTTTCGTGTTTCTTTGGATTTTTTTTTTTTAATATTATTTGTATAAATAAGACACCATGGGGCTTAAGAAGATTAGTGATAACAGCCAACCAAAAAGAAAATTGGTTGGGAAAAATTTGTTTGGTATTTGAACAGATCGGCACTCGAACAGCCTTCTGAAATGAATTAAGTTTGAGAACGCAGGTTTCACTGTATGTATTAATAGGATAAGCGATCAGTTGGCCAATACTGATACCATCAAAATTTGAATAATTATGATTTTTACTACCCTAATATTAATGCCAGTTTTTAAATGAACAGTAAGAAAAATATAACTTACAAGTATAGTGTGGTGTGGGTAGTGCTTTCGAACCTTTCTGACATACTCCACAAACACTTCTGAGTAGCCATTGGCAACATCCAGACATATGAACTTTATCTGAAAAATAAAAAAAATTATTTTACAGCTTATATGTAAGGGAACATGTTTTCCTCAATTCTTTAACATCAGTTAAGACTAGATCTCAAATGCAGTGCTGTATAGCACTACATATACACAATCCTACAATGACGCTCAAAATGTAAAAAGTGTATGTGTGTAAATGTTATAGGGTCAGAAAGTAACAATTTGAATAATAAGCTGCACATTTAAGCCTAAGTGCCTCATTACCTGTTACAAACATAGCCGGTTGGTCCCTGGGTTATAGTGCTTCTCATAACAAATGAACAAACTTAGCACATCTACGGGTCATCACTCATTGAGGAAAGGGAATTTTCTTAGTTTCTATTTAATTTATTAAAAACCACTTAAACCCACTTTCTCATATTTTACACTATGAATAGAACATTTGTCACACACTTCATTAACACATCACAGTACTAGGTTAAGTATTTACAAATGGCTCTGAGTGAGTCAGGAAATATAAGTACAGTGGACCCCCGCCTAACGAACGCATCGCATAACGTTAATTCCGCCATACGAAGCATTTGAACGCAAAAATTTTGCCTCGCCTCACGATAAAAAACTTGCCCAACGTGATTCCTCCCAAACCTGTCCGTTCAGCATGAGTGCCTGAGCTGCCCTGCCGTCATTGTTTACAAGCCAGGGTGGCCAGTTGCATGCATACATTCGAGACATTTTTAATTATTCCATTGTTTATAGTGCTTGTAACTGCTAAATAAGCCACCATGGGCCCAAAGAAAGCTTCTAGCGCCAACCCTGTGGAAAAAACGGGTGAGAAATACGTACTATCGTACCACGGTGAGCTGCTGCCATGCCACCGTCGGCTGCTGCCACGCCACCATCGGCTGCTGCCGTGCCACCATCGGCTGCTGCCATGCCACCGTCGGCTGCTGCCGTGCCACCGTCGGCTGCTGCCACGCCACCATCGGCTGTTGCCGCGCCACCATCGGCTGCTGCCACACCACCGTCGGCTGCTGCCGCACCACCGTCGGCTGCTACTGCACCACCGTCAGCTGCTGCCGCACCACTGTCGGCTGCTGCCGCACCACCGTCGGCTGCTGCCATGCCACCGTCGGCTGCTGCCACACCACCGTCGGCTGCTGCCGTGCCACCGTCGGCTGCTGCCACACCGTCGGCTGCTGCCACACCGTCGGCTGCTGCCGCACCACCGCCAGCTGCTGCTGCCACACCACCATCAGCTGCTGCACCACCATCAGCTGCTGCACCACCATCAGCTGCTGCACCACAGTCAGCTGCTGCTGCCGCACCACCATCAGCTGCTGCTGCTGCACCACCGTCAGCTGCTGCTGCCGCACCACCATCAGCTGCCGCACCACAGTCAGCTGCTGCTGCCGCACCACAGTCAGCTGCTGCTGCTGAACCACCGTCAGCTGCTGCTGCTGCACCACCGTCAGCTGCTGCTGCTGCACCACCACCAGCTGCTGCACCACCGTCAGCTGCTGCTGCTGCACCACCATCAACTGCTGCTGCTGCACCACCATCAACTGCTGCTGCTGCACCACCATCAGCTGCTGCACCACCGTCAGCTGCTGCACCACCGTCAGCTGCTGCTGCACCACTGTCAGCTGCTGCTGCACCACCGTCAGCTGCTGCTGCACCACGGTCAGCTGTTGTTGCACCACGGTCAGCTGTTGCTGCACCAGTCAGCTGCTGCTGTACCAGTCAGCTGCTGCTGCACCACCACCAGCTGTTGCTCCACCACCATCAGCTGTACTACTCAAAGATGTGGAGAGTGTGTTGGTGTGGCTTAACAGGAAACAATTACCGAGAAACAATTAACCCCAGATGGTTAGCCACCCAGGATAACCCAAGAAAACCAGTGCATCATCGAGGACTGTCTAACTTATTTCCATTTGGGTCCTTAATCTTGTCCCCAGGATGCGACCCACAACAGTCGACTAACACCCAGGTGAACAGGAAAAAATGCCTGGAACTAGTGCTCATATTGGTGAATTTAAGGCCAGCAAAGGTTGGTTTGAGAGATTTAAGAATTGTAGTGGCATACACAGTGCGATAAGGCATGGTGAAGCTGAAAAAATTCCAACCCCCAAAAAGTGTTCAATTGTGACGAAACAGGCCTGTTCTGGAAGAAAATGCCAAACAGGACCTACATTACTCAGGAGGAAAAGGCACTCCCAGGACACAAGCCTATGAAAGACAGGCTGACTCTCATGTTTTGTTGTAATGCTAGTGGGGATTGCAAAGTGAAGCCTTTACTCATGTATCACTCTGAAAATCCCAGAGTGTTCAAGAAAAACAGTGTCTCATCACTCATCAATACTCTTCAATAAAGGTGTCATTTTAACATTTATTTATGTAGTTATTGTGCATGTCTCATTGTTTTCTTTTTAAGGAAATGTATATTTCATGAAAACAAAAAAAATTTAATACTTTTGGCTGTCTGGAACGAATTAATTGGATTTCCATTATTTCTTATGGGGAAAATTAATTTGGCTAACAATAATTTCGGCTAACGATGAGCTCTCAGGAACGGATTAATATCGTTAGGCAAGGTCCACTGTATATGTACAGGCGTTGTTTAAAAACTCGACTACTACACTGCTAGAGCTCTTACTTGCTCACTTTCTTTAAGAGTTTCTCAACCGCCTTCTCCAACCGAGATCAACCCTTGCAATGAGTTTCTGAAATTTTTGGTAGTTCCTAGGGAGGTGAATGGTGGTTTAAAGCTGGATACTTCCCTAGACCCTTCCTGGTCCAGAGGAAGGAATGAACTGAACAAGGCAAGGCTTCACCAGCCACCTTTGACTTGGTCGGAGCAGGGGTTGAGCAGCTCAAAACACGTACTTGTGCTTGGCCAGGTCACACAAACAGTTTAGACTAATTAAATAACCTATGTACAAAGCTAAATAATATACGGCCGGATAATATTATAAAGTCGAATAATCCATTTTAGCTACTAATGGAATTACTCCTGAATATATTAAGTGAAATAGCAAAAATAACATGTAAAAATATACCATTGCCATAATAGCAAATAGAAATTGTCTACTTAACCCTTAAACTGTCCAAACGTAGATCTACGTTTTTTCAACATTTGAAAGTATGTAAAAAAAAGTAGATTTTTTTTTTTTTTTTTTACATTTGAAAACATGCAAAAAAAAAACTTTGATCTACTTTTTTTTTTTTGTTATACAGTGGTACTCGATAATTGTAGGGCTCGATAGTCGCAATTTTCGGAAATCGTAACGATATTTTTATAGACAGCCTGTACTGTCTGCACAGACAGCCCATGCTGTCTGCCAGCTTAGTTCATATTTCACACCACTCAAGTGTTGCCCTCTGTAGCCAGGCCTCTCAGTGGGCACGCCAGCCTGTCTGCCCTTGCCTCGTTCTCACTCTCACAGCGGCCTAGCAGGAAGACACAAGGCCTACTAGCAGCTCTCTCTCGTGGGATGGCCCTCCCGGGCCATGGGCACAACACAAGCCTGTGTACCCACCATGACATAACAATAAAGTAAGAAGCCTCCGAAGACGTATCATTTGAACCCCGCTTTCAGCTCTACCAAATAATCCCATTAAACATTGGCAGCAGCGGTGGTCGCAGCAGTGTGTTTGCCCAGAGAGAGGAAGGGAGGAATGAATGAAGTTGTTCACTTCATCCCCCTACTCAACAAGCATCCGTCTCTCAACGAGTTATCCTGATGTCGTGTCTGCACGTTTCAGCATCCAGACACAGGTACAAGCAGGATCCAGCCGAAATTTGACGAAATTCTCCGAGAATTGTAAGTGACCCCACGCTACAGCGTCCCACGCTGTTTCTCAAGTCATGTGTTCAGCGTCACTTGTATGTTGCTGTTATTGTTCAGCTCAGCACAGCTGTTTCAGCAAGCCAGAGGTGAGTTTCGTGGTGCTTTCTGCGTCCAGTGTGAGTTCTCCACGTGTTTGTGGGAGGAGGAAGTGGCTGTTCCTTCGCCCTGCTGTACTCTCACACCTCACCAGCCTACCATACACCACTCACCACTACTCACTCCCTCTGCTGTGTTTTCTGCTGTTTTTCATGTGATTCATTGCCAGAGCTGCGTATCCGAGTGCCCGAGGCCACTCGAAGCTACGTGGATCAGCATGCCACTTAGATCACGACGCCACGTGGATCACGACGCCACGTGGGTGTGGGCGATGTCACGTGGATCTACAAACCACGTGAGTTACCAGATGTCCCAGGCCACATGCTGTGGTCTGCTGTCCGCATCACATTGACGTCACCACGATGCTGCCCGACTTCATGACGTCACGATGTCTGCTGACGTCACCTCACGATGTCTGCCTGACGTCACCTCGAGATGTCTGCTGATGTCACAGTGCTCCTGACATCATCACGCCTGACATCACATGATGTCACCATCGAGTGTTCAGTAATTATTAAAATATTGTCGAGAAGACTAAGAGAAGATATATGTCGTGTGTTAATTCCTCTCAGTCAGTGTTCTCACATTTTAGTATATGTCTTAGTGTCAGTTTTATGCACAGAAAAGCATCATTTGCTAGTTTCAGCCATGTTGTACCGCATGTACCGCGGGTGTGTTTAAAGTTTCCGTGTGTCCAGTGAGGTCTGAGCCAGACCTGAGTAGCACCACTGTGTTAAGTCACCCGTGTGACCAGTGTGTATGACAGCTGATGTCAAGACAGCCCCGAGTGACCGAGCCCTCTTGTACAGAAAGCTTTTATGCTCGTCGCTCGTAATGTTCTGCAGAATCGTACCTGCTATGATTCCCATCGAGATTTGTTTCACTTCACCTCCAGACCGTCAGAGTGCAGTTATATGTAGAGAAACAAGTCTGGGGACGCTTAGACTAACCTCTGCTATAACTCCAACTGCCGAGAGAATGATACTCCCCAAGCCGCAGTTAGCCACTGTCGGCAGGCACTGTGTCAGTCTCATGTCACAAGCTTCAGTGAGCAGCCTGCACAAAGAAGATGTCACTTTGACTGCTGGC